AGAGTAGCTTTAACAGCTAATGTCTCCGAGCATTTCAACAGCACAATGGGCAAAGACCAGACCACAACACCGGGAACTTCGTGCCCTGCTCTTTACGATAAGTGTGTGGGTTCTTTAACGTCCCCTGCTGACCATAACAGTGAAGATGCAGGAGACGGGGCCTACGGTTTATCGTCCTTATCCGAGAAGACTAGAATATCTAACCATTTGCAGATGTCATTGCAAAGGCAGTGATGTGTCTATGTTTTCTAAATTCTCAACATATAATCTTGTGGGCCTAGATTTATTTTTTTGCAAGTGGAATAATAATACCTTTCAATTCGATCTTGATTAATTCCCATCTTAAGCGCTCATCTTCAACCACACTATATTTTACTTTAATCATTGGATAACTGTTTTCTAATTAGCGTTAAAAACACTTGATCTTTCAATAGAGAGTTATTAAACTTCTAAAGGCCCGGGTCAGGCTTATTTTGGGTTATTTTTACCCCCAATCTGACTGCTCTGTGATTATTAACTATTGAAATTTTGATATCAGCCATGGAGACAAGGTGACCCCATGATTTTGCAATAAGAAAGTAATCAATTCTTGACTTCATTTTGAGTGCCTTAGATTCATAAGTGTAGAACTTCGTATTTGGATTTTTTACTCTAAAAGTTTCAACAAGCCCAAATTCCCTAGACAATGCCAACAGCTGTTCACGATAAGCCTTACATTTTCATCAAAAACGCATACATCTAAAGACACTTTCCAGAAAGAAGACTTTTGAGAACAGATCCCTGTGGCATTATTGTGATCAAGCTTTCAAAAATGTTTAGTCACATTATTTACATCATGTTTTAATGTTATCATCATAGTTGTGGTGTTTTCCCGTACATATCAGCATTTTTGGCAAAGGCATCGATCGTCAAAAATGTTTCAAAACTACATTAGTGTGGACGGAGCCTTTAAGTCTCTGTTTGTTTGGCACAATTAATCTACGTTTAAGAGTGATCTCCCCTCTTCCTAAGCTACTAGGAATGGTGGCAAAGTTCATTTTTTGTTGCAGATTATTCTAAAGACTGAAAATAAATTTCGGGAAAATAAATTTCGAAGTTCAGAGAAATTGTGCAAACATGGGTAAAATTTCATCATAAGTTTCATTCTGCCAGTACTTTCAAGTGTTTCATATCAACATCAAATTTTGTTTTTGACGTTTGGTGTTGTTAGAAATGATTTCTTTTGAGACTGTATTTAAAACAGTCGCACAGAAGTTTGCAATATGATGTGAACAACCTTGGTACAAGGTTTTTGTCCCATTGTTACTTGAAATCCTGGTGGATTCCTTCTTAAATTCCAATGTGAATAGTTTTAAATAACCTTAAATTTAAATAAGTTAAAATGATTGTGTATAATTTTTAAGATTGCAGTAATATGGTACCCATGACCCCATGCCATAAGCTTTTATTTTTAATTGTGCGTGAGTAAAGGTTACTTACTTGCTTATTAATCTCTACAGAACACTCAAGTCCTCTAGCTCATTAAAGAAAAAGGTTTGTGAATATTATATGCAAAAGATTTTTTGTGGGTGACTGTGGTTCTACATGGATTTTAGTGTTGTTTGTTTTGCGCCTTTTGGTTTTACTTAATTATGAGAAGATCGCAGAAATTTTAAGGGCAATTGAATTTGTTCAGTTCCTCAATATTTTTATAGGAAGAACAAGTCAAAGACAACAAGATGGTGGAACTTGCTAATCTTCTCAAAGAGAGATACTTTTCTGCATATAGGTACATGTTCTTGCTTGATTTGAAGCTTGTATTTTACAATTCCTCAGCTGTAAACATTTGTTGATGATTTGGGTCCAAACAACCTATTAAAGATTTTTTAGGTGCTGTGCAGTAGAAAATTTCAAAGTTGGAAAGTGCTCTCTCCTTGCATGGGGTAGAAACAGTACAGTAAGACACCAGCAGATAACCCACTGGCAATTTTACATTTCCTGTCTTTTCTTTTTTCACTGTCTTTACTGCACGGTTTTCTATTCATGGCTGTTGGTAAACCTTATCCCCAAATAGCGAAGGGAAGCCTGATTTCTGGACCAGCTTTACTTAGGTCAGGAACAATTCAAACACGTTATTCTACAGTGAGGCAGAGGAAGGTTCATGGGGTTTACGGCGTTTTTCGTTAAAAGATAAACAACCTTTATGTACCCTCGGCATTGTTTATAGCACAAAGGCTAGTGAGGCCGAGAAAACAACTGAAACAAATAATTCAAATTGAACATAACATCGTTATTAAGAATCGCAACCGGCCAGAGGTAAACCAGTTGGGTATTTACAAGTGTGGCCGAGGATTTGAACTTGAGGCTACTGTGAAACAAATCTGGGTAGTGGCCAGAGTGGAAATCGAATCCAGGACCGCTGGATTCCGAGTCCGACGCACTGACCACTCAGCCATGTTACCCCCTAGTTCGTGAAGGAGAAAGTTCCTTTTTGGCACTGTTGATCCCAATTGATCCCACAGTTGATGGCAACTGCAGTTAGATTTCTCCTTGGAAATTGCTGCCCATACGTGAATAAAGAACCAATCTGTGATCAAATTCAACCTAAATTGCTTATTCACTGTTAGCATTGGTTTGACTGCCTTTGAGTTTTAATTCCGGCTTGTACAATAGGGGCTCAAATTATGCTGCAGTCAATGACTGATTCATTCATGGCTTACGCCTTTAAACGTCATCAGATTGAATTACTGCTTGTTTACCTTTCTTCGTTATTTCATTTTCGTTCTTTGCATCGCAGGTTGTGGAAAGACTGGATCTCCACGCTCTTTCTGTCTTCTTTAGAAGTGACCTTAATTCGTGGTGGCAAAAATGCATCCTTGTTGTCAATGACTGTAAGTTATTATTTCAGGTTAAACAACAAATAGCGCAATGGTCCGGAAGTTTATGTTATTAGCTGAATGAAAGGTTTTTAATCATTTCAGTGTTCCTTACCCTTCCTCCCAAAGGGTGGATGAACCACTATCCAAAGGATAGATGAATCAGTATCCAAAGGATGGATGAATCAGTGTCCAAAGGATGGGTGAATCACTATCCAAAGGATGAGTGAATCACTATCCAACGGATGAATGAATCACTATCCAGAGGATGAGTCAATCACTATCCAAAGGATGGTTGAATCATTATTCAAAGGATGAATGAATCACTATCGAAAGGATGGATGAATCACTATCAAAAGGATGAGTGAATCACTATCAGAAGGATAGATGAATCATTTTCCAAAGGATGAGAGAATCGTTATCCAAAGGATCGATGAATCAGTATCGAAAGGATGAGTGAATCACTATCCAAAGGATGGATGAATCAATATCCAAAGGATGAGTGAATCATTATCCAAAGGATCGATGAATCAGTATGGAAAGGATGAGTGAATCACTATCCAAAGGATGGATGAATCACTATCCAAAGGATGGATGAATCACTATCAAAAGCATGGATGAATCACTCTCAAAAGGACGAATGAATCACTATCAAAAGGATAGATGAATCACTCTGTAAAGGACGAATGAATCACTATCCAAAGGATGAATGAATCACTCTGCAAAGGATGGATGAATCAGTATCCAAAGGATGGATGAATCACTATCAAAAGGATGAGTGAATCACTATCCAAGGGATGGATGAATCACTATCCAAAATAGTACTAGTAATAGTTATAGTATTCTTTATTGCATCTTACCCTCCAAAGGTAGGTATTGGTCTAAATACAACAAAGGTTTGAACATTAACTAACAAAAATGCAAGATAAGCTGTGCTGTAAAATGCAAGATAAGCTGGCTGTAAGCTGTGCTCCAAGGTCACACATGGACCGTATAACGGCTGCCAGAGGCGCCAATGTATGCTTTCGGTTCGACCTTGTTGAGCTGCGTCGTTGCTGTACTTTGCGAGGGCGATTAGCCGCGACAATTATTATTGCGACAATTATTATTATTATTATTATTATTATTATTATTATTATTATTATTATTATTATTATTATTATTATTATTATTATTACCATATCCGTATACAATTAATTCGAAAAATTCATAGTACTTATTACATTTGTGAACCAAGAATCTCTTTCCTTTTTTAAAACATTGAATGGATATATTTTCCTATAATTTTAGATGTAACCGTGTTTTCTGCTCAAAGTAAATACTTCGTCTTCTCGTTATCACTTAAACTGGGGTAATGGGTGTCAGCGTTTGGAATCTGTGAGTCCAAGGGGTGGCGAATGGTCATTCAAAAACTCTGGGTCTCGCAAAAATTGTGATTCACTCATCCTTTGGATAGTTATTCATCCATCTCGTTTTTTTAGCGGTTGTGTGTGTCTCGCAGTCTCGATTTTTATACAAAGCTCTCTCGGAGTCTCGACTTTTTGCAAGGTTAAGGGTTTCGAAGTTCCGATTCGTTTTTTTGTTGTAATAAATGACGTCTTCTCGTCACTTGATATTGAATTTCAATAAAGCAACTTTCAAATTTCCGAGAAAAAGTCAATCCTAACTTTTGCCAAATTGTCTGAATTCAACAAAAAGCCACAAAACTTACCGCAACGTCATTTTGACGCCAAAAAACAGTTATTTTATTCTAGGATATCCTAACATAGTGTGTTATAGTCAAATTTCCAGTTCCAGCTTGTTCGCAAAGGCTGACTGAAAGGCAAAAAGGGGAATCAAGAAGCCACACACAACCCACGATAGCTCATGATGAAACCCACGAAGAACTTAATATCTGTTGTCCCCTGTGGAACTGTGTAATTAAAGCCACAAGTAATTACGACAAAAGACTCCTTTGTAAGACTTCTGTACAAGCTCATTCTCGTTCATTCTTATAGCTCTCAACTAAATCTGGGGCTCGAATTTTAAGAGTCTGAGCCCCTCGCACTCGCACTCAAAACACTTTAAAGTCTCGGTCTCGCAATCAAAAAAGTTAATATGTCTCGGGCTCGCAAATAAAAGCGCTGGTCTCGCCGTCTCGCAAAGTCTCGCATTTACCATTCACCACCCCTAATGCAGCTCACGTCTTAATGTGGTATATCCCCGACAATACATCAAGAAATGCTGTTCGTGTTCTATGCAATTTTCTTTGCATACTAAACATGTTCGCTGTTCTTCTGGGATTAATGCTCCTCTATTTTCGTATTTGCCAAAAGATGGATGATTCGCTATCCAAAGGATGAGGGAATCACTATCAAAACGATGGATGAATCACTATCCAAAGGATGAGTGAATCACTATCAAAACGATGGATGAATCACTATCCAAAGGATGAGTGAATCACTATCAAAAAGATGGATGAATCACTATCTAAAGGATGGATGAATCACTATCCAAAGGATGAGTGAATCACTATCTAAAGGATGAGTGAATCACTATCTAAAGGATGAGTGAATCACGATCTAAAGGATGAGTGAATCACTATCTAAAAGATGAGTGAATCACTATCTAAAGGATGGATGAACCACCATCCAAAGGGTGCGGAGTGAATCACTATTAAAAGGATGAGTGAATCACTATTCAAAGGATGGAAGAATGATGACTCCTTGATTTATTTATTTGTTTTTGTTTTTGTTGTTTTTTTTCTTTTCTTTTTGTACCTTAGTAATCCATTAATATCTTCTTTGTCTAGAATTGGGAAGCGGTCAAGATTGAAGAGGAATCAGAGGAAGGGAAGAAAGTAGAATCTATTATAAGCGTTCCTACCCAGGTAGTTTGTGTGAATTGACAGATCATGTTTGAAGGTGGTATTTCTTTTAATTGCTTCTTTCACTTTGCGGACAGGTTTCATCTCACGTAACATCTTTGCTGTTCAGTCTTTGCCAAGAACTCAACAGAACTGGGGCGCATGCCTTAGACAGGTAGCCATCAAAGGAAACTGTAATATAGACTCGTTACTTTTGTGTTTATGTCATTAGCCTTTAAAAATTCAAAGGGAGCTGCAGCGCAGCCTTATCCCGGTCTGGTTACATGTATGATTATGATCGCTGCCTGTCGTCCAATCCATAATAACCCGTGGGTGATCTCTCCGTGTGGGTCGGAAGCCGACGACCAGAAAACATGCAAAAAATACACCCAGGATAAGTCGACCGAACTGACAGTCAATGAAATCTGGAAACTTGTATGATATATTTTCGGTTTGGTGTACAACAAAACACACCACGACTGGTCTCATGTGAAAAAGCGACCAAGAAAGAGTAAAGAGATTTTCTGTTTCCATCGGGTCCGTTATTTAGTGGTCTCCTATGCCGTATTATTTTAAGTGTTTGTGTCTGTTTTTTTTTAAATAGGAAATTGCTGCACGAGCTTGTCACGAGCCTATCACATGGAGTTCTATTGACGCACGAGAAATTAGTCCAGGAACACAAGTCGAATTTAACTCAAAACCAGGCATTGCAGATATTGTTCGACCTGAAATTCATTATGTCCATTCTCATGGGGCGTGGTGAAAACGAGCGTTCTGAGTTTCCAGACCGCCTTGACCAAGTTACGGACACTCTGGAAAGCTGCGTGGACCCGTTTGATCTGGACGTATTTTCTCCTCACATTTCAACAAACCTTAACAGGCAGCTTCAGAGATGTGGGGTATGTGTAACCATCGATACATCTTGTGGTTTGTTCGAAAAATTCCCGAACTACCGAAACGGGAACAAATGGTACGGGAATTCAAACCGGAATTTTTGTTCCAATGGAAAAGCGCTCAGTGACTCTTAGGCAAAGAAAATACAGTTGTTGGTGATATTCCCTCGCGTATTCGTACACGAGAGCAGAACCAATTTACCTTCGACTGGTATTATTGTGTTAATTCGACTATGTCAGATTTAAATTCAACGTTGACGCGACATTTTAATTTGCATCGCTTGCTACTGTTGGAGGAAACGCTGTCGGACTGGGTAACGAGTACGTAGCGTAACTTAAAACAGCTGCTACCAATGAAAACATTTTTCCTGTACAACTATAAAGTCCAAGAAACATTTTTCTTCTAGGTGTACCGTCTGATTTTTTGTTCTTGTTGTTGTTTAAAGAACCTCTTCAACGTCATTTCGAATTTCAGCCGAGTGAACGATCTGTGCTTTCTGAACAATGTTATGTTCAATTTGAATTATTTGTTCTAGTTGTTTGCTCGGCCCCACTAGCCTTTTCAAACACTGCCGAGGGTAAATAATGTAATTTTGTTTTTCTCTCCGCGTCAGTGACAAACAAGGCGAATATACCGTGTTTTAATGTCAAACTGTTCCAAGAACAGTTCTGATTAGTTCCCTGAGCGAGCCGTTAGGAGAGATGAATTTTTTTCCCTTCATACTTGGCGGACAATGTAATTTGAGTCGAACTTTCACGAAAACGTAAATAAATGTTTAATTTTGGCTCGCGCGTTAACCGGGCTTTCTACTTTATTGAAGTAACTTGTTCGGTCCACCCAAAGTCAACAGGGCGTTTTCTTTCACCGACGAAAATGTGAACGCTCTCTCTTTCTAGATTTATCGGTTGATTACTTTATTATGTTTTCTAGCAAATGGTTCTCTGTTTGATTTTTGTGTTTGTGGGCATGATATATTTTAGACACACTGCTTGTTGTTGTTGTCACTCGTTTTCTCCTCTGTTCAGTGTTCTATACCGCCTTTATTATCCTGTTTTGGAACAGCAACTGCTGATGAGCGATTTTGATGTGTAAATCAATCCGGGAGTGCTTTTTAGTCGCCTTCCTTCAACAAAAGACAAGTGAATTGTATGCCGTTGTCGTATGTTTTCTCGACTAGCAACCAATGGTTTCAGTCTTGTGACTTTTTCCCAAAAATTGTTTCCTTAGGTTACCTTTTAGAAATAACCCCGACCTAGAATGTAAATTAGCGGCTCTTTTTATTTTCAAGACAAACAGAACAATTACGGTGTTTTTTGCCCTAAAGGGAAATTGCATCGTGTTGTCAAAGTCTGTTTAATAAGTTTATCTGACGCATTATTCAGAGGGTGTTTTGTCTCGTTTAAATACATACCGTTGATTTCACTTGACTTCTCAAAGGGAACCATGCAGTCACCGATACCCCTTCAATGTTTCCCAGTAGGTTCCAACGGAGAATTATGTTTTAAAGAAAAGAGAATATTTTAAGGGATTTAGCTTTAGTGCCAGTCCTTGGTTTTGTCATAGGCGTTGCGTGTGTGATACACATTCGGGAAGCGTTATTATTTTTGCAGCCTATGTTTAATTCAGCGGTTTATTAACATTACAGATGACAAAGTGTGGCTTCGTTGAAATGTTATTGTCTAAAACAAATAGAGTTCGTATTATGGATCCGCTTAGACTTTGACTCGTTGCTGTTAAAAACCATTGTAATGTTTAAACATTGGAAACTGTCCAAGTGGTTTTTTCAATGTTTCGTCCATTTACAACTCGTTGCCTTAAAAGCCCTTTAACTTGGCGTTGATTATTTTGGTCTCCTGGGAAACCGAACCGATGTATCTCATTCTGGAGGCATTTAAAAACAAGTTAATCGAGTCTTTCAGCCCAAATTAATCACCTCCAAGGCAAAAACGCTTTGCAATTGTCGAGCAGTTAAAAGCTGTTCAATTCGGCAGCGATGCAACAGTTGTCAAATTAATATTACAAGGTGGAATTTCAGTTTGGTGTAATAAGCTTAGATATTTATGCCCAATAGTAAAAACATTTTTAATAGACTTGCTTGCGTTTTGGTTGAATCACTTTGTTATTTTTGGTTAAATAACTTTGCAATTTAAATGGTAATGTTGATATAACTAGATATATCGTCTTGTAAAATGTACCCCACTATATATGGGCATTTCAACTTGGAACGAAGGGATGCAGACATTTAACTAAGAGAAAAGTTAAAAACAAATCTTTGCATTGTCATTCATACAGTTACGCTTGTTGAGTACATTCTTGATCTCTGACTTTGTTAATAATATTATTATTATTATTATTGTTATTGTTATTATTTTTTTAGGTTTTATTTGGCGTCTTATCTAGTCTGGATAAGCACTCCACTCACTCTTTTGGAGTGACACAGCGCCCTTCCCAAGGCTCTCACGACCAACACAATGTTATGCCGCTGGCTCCCAATCCACCGCGATTCACCCTGTTGCCCCTGAGCTCTCACTTAAGTGCAGGACTTGGCTACCAAACCGTAGATCACGGCCATGAACAGGTTTACAAAGAAATTACTTTCATTTTGTGGTTTTGGTAATTTGGAAAGAATACTCTTCAGAAAAACTGGGACAGTGGCTTCGACGAGAATTTTAACTTGAAAGAACTTCAGAGAAATTAGTTTAGCTTGTTTATAGTCGATTGTATGTAGTCGATCAAGCTTCCTCTTACCTTCAACATCTTTAGACAGCGGTTTACTAATGTGACTGATTATATACATTTCCTTGATTTGTTTTGTTGTTGTTGTTGTTGTTGTTTGTTTAACAACTATTTCACTTTTTTGGCTCTTCTTTTTTAGGTGCCTTTGAGTCAACAAGAAGACGCAAAAAATGTCGTTACTCGAACAGCTTTCTTCAAACATCACCAGTTTTTCAATGTGAACTTTGATGCGCGTCCAGGGCTAAAAGCAACGTGACTCTCTCTTTTGCAATTATAGATATGTTAAAAATTGGATGTAAATTGTAAATAGCAGCCATTATCATCAATATAAGACATATGTTGGAAAGACTCATTCAAATAATGCGCGACGTTTTAACCATTGAATAAGGGTGGTTTTTTTTGTGATATCTATAACAATCAAGATCGAACGAAGTGACAGTTATTGGGTCTGCGGCCTGCGCATTTTACGGCATTTGCTGTGGTCGTTTTCTCCTTCAGATATTCTTCAAATACTCTTTCGGCTACTTATGTCGGCTGCTTGTGTGTTGTTTTCAATCTTCTACATTTTTATAACCCACTCAAAATTTATTAAGACGTTCACTGGCTATATAAAGTTAAAACTTTCGAACTTCGGCTGTCAGACTACGGCCTTCGATGGATAAAAATGAAAAAATGACAACTACAAATATATACAAAAATAGGTAGGACTATAAAAAGAATATATTAAAATGGGAAAAAATATGTGTCAATAAACTAATTGTTCTTTTCTAAAAGAATAGAATATTGATTGGGGAGTGGTCTTGAATTGTTGTCTGCATGGTTAATGGAAGCGGTGTGCCATGATCCTTGAGTCTTGCGAATGCGGGAAGAACCCTAGTCAATCACTGGAGAATTAGTTAAGTCAATAGAGTGATTTGAAGACCAAGCGTGTCTAACGACGTTGAAACCTCTTGCTTAAGACTTCACATTCCCCTTATGTTCTTTTTTTCTAGTTTCAAAGCATCTCCCAGTCTCGCTTACATAACTCCATGGGCAGTCGGCACAAGATATTTGGTAGACCACATTTGGTTGAAGTTCAATCGAAGGTCGGAATTTAGGAGAGGGAAATGCCTGTTGTAACATGCAACTAAACTCTCGAGCACGAAACAAGGAAAAGAGGCTGAACTCAATCATGTCACCGATGCTCTACTATCGAACAATTACCCCCAAAATGTCATCTCCAGCATTCTAAAGAAGAAATCGTCTAGATTGTAGAATACCGGGCCACTCATTTACATCTGACTGAATTTGAATGGTTCCTTTTGTTTCTATATGCTTCGTTCTTAGAAGCGTTGAGGGATATGTTAACAAGTGGCCCAGTATTGTAAAATCGCTCCAAAACATGATTTTCGAGACATTACAACAGGCGTTTTCCTCTCCTAAATCCCGACCTCCGATTGAACTTCAACCAAATGTGGTCTACAAAATATCTTGTGCCCGACCGCCCATGGAGTTATGTAGGCGAGACTGGCAGATGCTTTGAAACTTGGAAAAAAGAACTCGTGAGGAATGTGAAGACTTATCAGTGCAAGACGTTCCAATGTCGCAAACGCTTGGTCTTCAAATCACTCTACTGACTTTAATAATTCTCCAGTGATTGACAAGGGTTCTTCACGTATTCGCAAGACGCTAGAATCATGGCACACCACTTCGATCAATCATGCAGATAACAATTCTAGGCCGCTCCCCAAACAATACTCTATTCTTTTAAAAAAGTACAATTAGTTTATTGACACATATTTTTTTCCATTTTAATATATTCTTTTCAACGTCCCAACTATTTTTATATATATTTGTAGTTGTCATTTTTCCTTTTCTATCCATCAAAGGCTGTAGTCTGACAGCCGAAAGCTCGAAAGTTTTAACTTTATATAGCCAATTTTTAATATGTTTTGTCCTGGCTACGGTTCCTCTGTTTTTAAACGTACTTTTTGTTTGTTTTACACTTAACATTATTTCTGGAATTAACTGTGCGGCTCGCAGAAAAGAGATAGATAGCACAGAGTATTCAAATACTTGTTGTTAATCTGGACTGAGAAATCGTAGTTGCATTTTCAGATATTGACAATATGTAAATTGGATGGATGCCATTTTTTGAGTGAGTCTTGCCCCCATTTAGCAATTAGATTATGAGCTCGATCAAGATTTCTATCACGCATAGAAATTGGGAGCGAATAATCTGATTGTTTAATATAAATCACTTGAATCTACAGTAAATTATTTAATAAAGCCTTTTCAGACAGTTCGAAAGCGAAAAGAAGCGACCGCCATTTTGTGAACAGGTGATGAGGCCGAAGGCCGAATCAACTATCACGTCATAGAAATCGAGAGCGAATAATCTAATTGTTTTAGTAGAATTCTAGCTGAAGTTTATTTCAAATAACAGTTTCCAGTGTTTTCTCGACGTATTATTAAACTTTGTGCCTGAGAAAGATCGCTTGGATTAATTGTCATTTGAACTTGCAGTTGTGTGCACCGCGCATCATTTTTTCAGTAATTCCAAGTTTTTAAAGTCTGGAAACCGTAAATGTCCTTCTTTTAGTCATCTCAGGAATTTTAGTTAGCCATTTGCATCAAAATATTCCTCCAAAACTTTGGGAAACGAAAAACACGTCACTCTTTCGATGACGACCTCCAGCCACTGCACACTGATGGCTGACAGTGTGCAATGGCTCAGTCAATCAGATTGCAGCATTTGCATTAGTGTTCAGGTGGAATTCTACTAATTTTAATTATAGTTCACCACTAAATTTTCTCCTATTCTTATCGGTTTAAATCGATCACGTGACGCGATAGTGTTCATCCGCGGAGAGACACTATCGGCCCATATAGTGCCCGTCCGTGGAAAATACCCGGATGGATAGTTATGCTGTACTCGTCTGTGAAAATATTTCTGTAAACAAGCGGGCTTATAGAAAATAAACAATTGAAATTGTATCAAGAGATTTTTTGTTTGTTTCTTTTTCACATTTCACATTTGGCTTTCACGGCCTTTACTTAAAAAGTTGAAAATGATTCAACATAATCTTTGAACTGGCGCGCGGTAGAAAATTTAGTGGTGAACAATAAAGACAATAGAGTGTTTTTGTCTCGGAACTATCGGTCTGATAGTTGCTCCTTGGAAATTTGATATTCTTAAAACTAGCATATTTGTTTTAAGAACATCAAATTTCCGCAGGGAAACTATCAGCCGATAGTTCCTCGACAGAAACACTCTATTGTTTAATTAGTCTAAATGCACTAGCGTTCTATCACGAATGCCGTTCTCTGGTGGGCTACGCTACTCACTATCTATTCTGTGATAGATAGTAGCGTAGCGGTGTGCCCTTGTTAACAAAATGACGGCCGCTTCTTGGCGTTTTCGAAGTGTCTGTGAAGAGGCTTTAGATAAAGTTTTGAACGACTAGTAGATTTATACTAAAACAATTAGATTATTCGCTCTCGATTTGTATGCGTGATAGAAATCTCGAGCTCATAATCTAATTGTTTAATAGAAAGGTCTCCAAATTTACTTACGCCATAATTATACTATCGCCGTTTCTAATGGCTACCACTGAAATTTACGCTGCTGAACTGAGAGACACGGATTAAATTATAAAATCAACAGGATGCCTGGACTCCGAGCCAGATTGTTGGGAAATAAAAGCCAGTTTGACGGTTTACGCTGTTTACTCGATACTTCTATTTAGTTTGATAATTAATACAGATGTAAAACTGATCCGCTCACTCTTATTTTAACCTCTCCACAACGGCCACCTATCCACAACGGCAACGGCCACTGAATCGTGTCCCAGCTGCCAAAATAGCCGCTTGACAACGGCCAGTTAATCAACGACCGACCAACGGTGTACGCAAAGCCCCATTTTTAATGCAGAGTGCACTATTGGGATGGTTTTGGGGTCTGCCTGGCGATAAGACACTAAGGCGTTATGGCGCTAAGACGCTATGCCCCTATGGCCCTAATGTGCTGAGGTTGAAACTTTAATGTTTGTTTAATTAATTAATTTCAATTAATTGATTGGTCTAGAGACAAGGGAGTAGTGGGGGTGAGGTGGGAAAGGTACACGTGTACCCTACGTAAAACATGTTACGTCTACGTCAGTTAGGAATAAAAATCGTAAAGCTATATATTTGCTTCAAGTAACCCCTTGCTCTCCTTGTGGTACTATTCTCTTTGGAACAAAACCAATTTGCTCTAAACGCATGCGCAGATTAATTAGCGTTCGTGTCTTCCATACATCGTGGAAGATACATACTATACATGGTGGAAGATACATTGCATACGGGATAACACAAATGTTGAGTTGTTTTCCTTATGGTAGAACCCAACATGTAAGAGGCATACGTTCTAGCATCGTAAGTGTACTATACTATGTTTCCACGCGCTTTTTTGTGTGTCGTGTAATGTCAGGTAGCGCCACTTGTCCCTTTTTAGTGCAAAAGTGAAACGTATCTGTTAGAATTACCCACAATACTTCTCATTGAAACGCTTCCCAGTGGTATCAATCAATATTGTGTATTAATTTTGAATTGTTTTATTGTTAACAACAAAGGTGGCGACAGAAAAAGAAAGTGGTATTCCGTGACTATCTGATAATTAAATTAGTTTTTGTTCATCTGTGATACGAAAATGTGCGTTTTGAGAAAAAAGAAAATCGTTTCTCTTCCATTTCTTCGTCAGATATTTAACTCTCTTTCATTTATCCCCCCAAAACAAGCTTATCTTCCGTGTGTTTCGGCGAAAACAAGAGTTTCATGTTACATACGTATACCTTTGCCAGGAAAAAGTATCAAGTTACAAAGTTGGCGCGAAGAGCTAAATTGTCGCGTTTGTTCAACGTGTTGTTGAATTTAAAATGAACGAAAATCATCGTAAAACACCAGAATAAAATTTAAAAGCTGTCGTGACAAACAGTAATTGTACGTAATTTTCGGACCTTGAATGAAAATACAACCTTGAAACGTACACACTGCTAATGGGAAAAGCCCTAGCAGACTACTAAGGTGGATACAAACCGGAAGTGAACCGAGCGGGGGTGAGTACTTATGGGACTACCGTGCCAGAGCTATCAATTGTACTCTGCACTATCTGAGATTGTCTCACTAGTTTATTGTAAAAGGCGACGAAAATTAATTCATACCGGGCGTCGTTGTCTCTATTTTTGTTTGAATTCTGTTTTATCGATAAAATTTTGATTGTGTAAGTTATTTACCTCCTACAATAAGCATTTTTTAAGATAAAAATGTTGTACCCCGAAACAATGTCTTATTATACCCCTACCTCTCCATATAACGGCCACGTCCCTACAATGGCCACTTTCCTCTGTCCCCAAGGTGGCCGTTGTGGAGAGGTTCAACTGCACTTGTAATTGCCGGATCAGGATTTCTGCCCTGTAATTTCGGGTATCTGGAAAACCCGAAGAGCGAATAGTATGAAGACATGATTGATCATCGCAGTTATATACACAACTTAGGCAGTTGTGAAATTAAAGCCTGAAAAAAAATTCAGACCTGAACACTGACCGTAGATGGTGAAGAATGCAAGTGATTCACTTGCATTCTTCACCATCTACGGGTATATTACGAACTCACAATATAATCAGCTCCCAGTTGGCTTGATAGCTCAGTTGG